CTCATTCTCTCTCTCTCTAGATCACTCCATCTCTTTCTAAAACTCTTTGGTGGATGGAAGAATGAAATAGAAGTGACGAAAAAATGGTGCAGTGAGGGTCCCTATTTATAAAAAACGGGGACCGTTAGACTTGTGCCAAATGAAGAAATCTGACGAAGAGAGAGAGTCAATGGGAAAGATGAGGTGCGATGACTGACGGATGTGACTGACAGATGAACGATGTGATAACGATAACGTGAAAATCGGTGGTACGCCATCTAAACAACGGGGACACATTGCCCAAGCGACATCGGCACGTCGCCTAACGTTGGATGACGACACCCCACCTAAGTCAGCAATGCATGATGCTTGAAAGCAACGTGTGGCACCCAAAGGGGCGGCATGCATTGCCCGAGATAGCACATGTTGCCCCAACCTACCACGCGCGCAAGCTTACCACGCAGAGCCATGCACCGGTCTATGCGTAATGTGATGCACGTGCAGACTACACCTCGTGCCCCCCGCGTATGGGACGCGTGCATAATAAACAAGTCCTGTGCTGGCTAAGTGCGCGCACTGCGTGCGGTGTGCGAAACTTGCATTGACGGGTTCTCTTTCGCTAATGTTCATGCAGGATTTTCCACCTTTTTCTCCGTTTTCTCCTGAAATCTTTTTAAATAATAAATAAAGATATAATTTTTGTACGATAAAATAAAATAATTAATTTCAGGAATATTTAACCAAATAAAATATGAAATACGATATTCATTAAAAAAGATAAAATTATGAAATATTAAAAAACGGTCTTAGGGCATGAATAAATAGGAGTTTACATTATAAATTAAGCAGAAGGTTTTTGGGTGTTATACTTGCAGTTGTCCCTCAATTACTTATCATTGCATATATCAATATTATTTTCACTTATCACTTTTTAGTTGCACTTTCATTCTTAGTTATATTTTTATTAAGGTTTATAATTTCTATTTTTTGTCTTTTAAGAGTTTCATTGCACGATGCCCTTTTTGCGGTACCAACGATGGTGCTAATGATCTTCTCTATCATGTGGATACATCACATATCATTTATCACATATCATTTATCACTTTCACTTTCATTTTTCACTCTCTTAATGCGCCTAAACACAGAATGATTTTGTATTGAGTATCACTAATCACTTTCCACATATACATGAACACAGAACGGTTATGTATGAGACTTTTTAGTCACGTCTTGCTGAGGTCATATCCACGGGTAAAGTTCACCATGCTTCACTTGCCAAAATGGCTATACACACACCCTCCCCTGTTGATACTGATTAAACGAATTTTCTCGTCTTTTAAATATTTACATGTTATGCTTTTACTAATCAGATCCATCACCAGATGACTTAATCATGCATGTACGTGTCTATACATCATATATATTACATATAAACATTCCTACATAATACGCATAATGTATACATCTTATACGTACAACTATCGACTTAAATAAATATATATACATGCAACACATACAATATAAGTATACTTGTGTATTTACGCAAGGTATATATGTATTCCATAAGCATGCACATACAAGTTGTTCACTCATACATATATATGTTATACAATATACAATTATACATATCTATATATATGTCACACACACCTATAACTCAGTAACTGACATACACAAAATCTACATACACACACTAGTAGCAATATACATATATAAACATAGGTCACGCATAACATCATATATATCTCCAATCATATGCAATTGCACACACACACATGATGAGTTTGCGGAAATCACGTTAGAAAACTTAAATAGTTTGTAAAGCCTGTAAACAATTTATTTCAATGAAAATAAAGTTTTATAAAAATATGGGGCCTTTGAATGAGACTAACCAAATCCCTTACCTACAGTCGAATAAAAATCCTCATTGGTTCTGATTTACAGTCATCTCCATGTCCTTATTATTATCATAATATTTTTCTCGTTTACAAACAGAAATTACATGTGTTAAATGACGAACACTTTGAAAATAACTATAATATAAAGGTGGATAGATTTTTACGTTTGATGCATGATTCAGGTCACTGGGGTCATCGTGTGCCACCACACGGTTGAAATGCATCGCCACGTGCTTAGACACACGCGCCACATGTCAGACCACTATGCACCACTGCCAAAATCGCCGTTCGCTGTCGCGATTCGATTGGAAACAACCACAGAACACCTCGTGCATTCATATCTAGCACAGATCTAGTAGAATCACGCTGAAAAACACCATGGACTAACGAAATCGCGTGATCAACCACCGCACGCAAGTCTTCCCCTCCAGGTAAATCCACCGCGGGTCACATTCTTTCCTAGCCGTGTGTTGTG